TTCTATACAACGAAAGGAGACTGCGACCACACAAAAGGCCACACCATCTTGGTCTTCATACCTTCAGATAATCTTTATTTAGGCACTTTTAAGCGAAATGAAAGTCTCTTCAGCAAAATATTTATAGTTTACCTGAGCTAGATATCTTTCTAGCCTATATAGATCATTAAGCAGCGATCTTAGTTTTCCTTGGCGCAGGAACGTGTTCAGATTGCGCAGCAGGTCGCTGGTAACCCTGAGCGAATTGGAGCAGGTAGTGAGGCCTTGGACATCCCAGCGCTCCAGGAGTGCTTCAATCTCGTCGTCAGAATTGGCGATTAACAAGGGCGAATGATTCGGGTTTCCGTTGCCCTCCTCATCATCCTCCCTGTCCTCCTCAACTTCGACTGCCGCTTCCGAGTCACTTTCAGAGCTCATCTCCCCAAACGCACTCAGCTTCTTTGCTTCGTTACCAACCGCCTCCGACTTGGCTCCCTCTTTCACAGTCACCGCTCTCCTCGTCTCCCAGCCATTTGTCACATGCTCTGGCTGTTGGTCGTCCTCGGAGAGACTGAAATCACCCTCTTCTGCAAAGGCCATGGTGGTCACATGACCTGTGAGGCTGGCCACCTCGGTCACCGTGACGACGGGCAGCTTACGGCCCACATTGAGTGCGATAAACCGGGCCGGAGGACGCTCAGGACTGACCGGCGTGACTCGTAGGTTGACCAACTCACGTTCCACCATGAGATAGAAGACCATGAACCATTTCTGACTAATCGGACATGCACCTTTCTCCTCTGCTCGCGATGGAGAGACGCGTAAGAACAACTCGACAAGGGGCTTCTCGTTCATTCCGGACTTGAGGCAGCGGCCTGGCTGGAGTGGCTCGTGCCAGTCGAAATGAGTTGCCAGTTGGCCTCGGAGCCCACGTTGCAGAGGCCTCCGTCAATGACACCAGCTTAGGATCACGTGCCCAGCATCGCTGCTGTGGAGAAGAAGAGACGCCGAGCAAACGTGCCCAGCAACGAGAGGCGAAGGAAGGAGGAAGTGATGGAGTGACGCAGTAGGCAAAATAGGAGAGTGAACGAGCCGTTGAGTTTGGATCTGTGTGGCAAAAGGTGTGACTAAGGGAGGGACCGATGCTCACGAGACCGATGAACAAGAAGAAGCTCAGCCTCCGCGTCGGTCAACTTTCAACCCCCTTTCTAGACTGTGCTGCAAGGCGGGCGACAGAGACACAGGCAATCCTTTCGCCAATGGTACCAACCAGCCCAGCCAGCCTTCCAGCCACTCAGCCGAAGTCGAGCTCTGTCCGTCACCTGAGGGATAGGGCAGGACATGACCATGCCTCGGAGGCTGTGGCAGAGACTCAGACTTGACTAAGGCATACAGTCCGATTTGCCTGCATGATTGGGGGGCTCATATGCTTTTTGGCCAAAAGAATGTTTGGTTGCGAGGAGCAAAGGAACTAGCGTCTATCTACACTGAGCTGTCTTCTCCCCTACATGGCGTAGCCTGCTTGCGAAAAGCTTGCACGTGCACATGAGGGCAGGCTTCTAGAGGTAGAGAGGCGTTTCCATGGTCTCTTGTAACGTCAATCTGCTAGCGTCATCACGACCTGGTATGGCCAAGGGCAGATGTAAATATTATTCGATTGGGTGCAAACCTTTCTTCTTCAGGTTACTGATTTCTCCAGACGCTGAAGGGAGATTGAATCATTTTAAAAATTGGTGCTTTTTCAGTAAAGACATCATAATAACACTTTAGTTTGGTTTTCACGCATTGAGAAAATTATATGACAAGTCGTATTGACTCTCTTTCACTCA